GAAATTGTTTTTTTTTTTCCCCCCCTCCTGTGTTTTTTTTTTTTTTTTTTTTTTTTTTTTTTTTTTTTTTTAGGAAATTGTTGTGGCTTTGGTGGTGGTGGGAGTGGGGAGGGAGAAGTGGTTGGAGGAGAAGGGGGTTCAGGCTGGATCAGATGCTCTGCCTGCCAGTCAGGGCGATGGTGCGCTCGCCTCTGTATTTCTGTGTGTGTGTGATTCTCATACCCAGACAATGCTCTGCAAAGCGAGCTGGTCCTGCGGAGAAATGCAAACGCCTCCTCCCCCAAGTGCCTGAGGAAAGGAAAGGCGACATGGAGCCAATCGCTTCTCCTTGGCTAGTCTCATTAATATGGAGAAAAGAGAAAGAAACCAATGAGGAGGAGGAGGAGGAGGGGTTTATTCAAATTCAGTTTCTTAAATCAAACTCTTTTTTTTTTCTTTTTCTTTTTCTTTCCCACTCTTTTCTCCCCCTCCCTACTCTTCCTTCTCCCTGTCCCCTAAGCACCATCTTTGCTACCCCACAGATTTTTCAGCTGGCGAGACAGAGTCAGCAAAACACAGTGATGGAGGGAGGATAGCATCACTGCTGGAAGGAGGAAGGGGGTGTGGGAGGGAGGAAAGGAGGCAGTTTCTCCCTTGAGCTGCAGAAGAGTTGGTGGTAAAGAAAAGCGACAAAGTAGCTCAAGTTGGCAGGGAGGGGAACGGAGGGGAAATGGAGCAGGAATTTCACCTAGAAGTGTCATTTTGCGGATGGTATTTGCAGATGGGCAGGTGGCCTGTGTCCAGGACCAGCCCTCTGAGCTTGTGGAAAGCATCCCTTTCCCTCCCACACCAGAGACACACACCCAGGAAGGGAAGTGGCTGCACAGGAACAGCAGCAGCTGCACGAACCTCACTTCATGGCTACACAGCTCAAGGTACCCCCTCAACAGCAGTGCAGTAGAGGTACCTGTTGCTGGAAATGGAGCAGAGCTGTAGAGAGGATCGAAGTTGCTGGTAAGAGGAGACGGGATGTCCAGCTAGTTCCTCTACCTGGTTCCTGGATAGGAGCAAGGAGGCACATGCCGCTGTGAGGGAATCTCTCAAAAGCATCCAGTTTCCACTGCCTTCGGCAGAGAGCAGCTCTCAAGCAAAAGCCTCTCCCAGACCCAGGAAACTGGTCACTAGAAGAGTCTGAAAATCTTCCACAGGGACAGTGATCCAGGCCTAGAGGAACCCTCTACTGCCACAGGCCCTGCAGATCCATGTCAGGAACTGGAGGTGCTGAAAGCTTGCATCCCTATCCTAATTTCCTGAGAACTGTGCTGCACGAGCACCTGCCTTCCTATGAAGTTCTTCCAATCCTTGTGAAGTTTCACAGCTCCCAGGATACCAATTCTGTGGGTCTTCACAACCTGCAGGCCCTTCCATCCACTTGTCTTCCATTTTCTGCACCTCCCAAGTATCCCCCACATTCTGTTTCTCTTAGCTTGTAAAACTATTTCAAATTCCTTGCCTTCACCTGCTTTTCTAATTAGACAAAGAGAAAACAAGTTAATTTGGTCACAAGACCAACCAAAACTGTTCCCAGTTCAGTGGTCACTAGTCTGTTACAGTCACTGTTACTCTCAGTCCAGGTGCAGGAGCCTAAGGGGGATGCAGCTCTACAGCAGAACCACTGGACAAGGCAGTGTGCATGTTCCCAGTCCCCTGGCACAGTAACAGCCCCATGGATGCGTGACCACCTTCTCCTGAGAAATATATGCACAGACACAGTGTGGATGCATTCAGCTCTGCTTTTTATTCCCGCATCATGGAGCAGGCCAGAGAATTAGCTGGACTTTTCAAAGCTTTCCTTTGCACTTTCTCCTTTTCCAGTTATACCAGCTTCTCTGGCCCCATCTCACAGTTTTTAGCAACCTGCTGAATGACAGAAAAAAAAAAAAATTAGATGTCTACATCAAACGGTTGAGTTAAAAACCCTATGTAGTCTTTAGGGATAGCAGAGATTGAGAAATTTGTTATCTATCAGGCTTACTTTGTATGTCTACCTTATGTGGGATAAGATCCCATTTAATTTAAGGACTAGATTACCATAAACTATAAAGGGAGCCAAGAGTAACTAAATCAGATGTAGACGTCTAACACGTAGCCTTATTTTACTGCATCCTATAGGATAAGATGCAGGACAAAGAAATCTCCATAGCAAAGTGATTGATCTTCCCAAGAAGATCACCTATGCTCACCCTGTAGATACAAAAAAAGAGAGGAAAAAAAAAAAAAAAAAAACCAACATACTCAGCTATATACCCTCAAGACTTCCAGAATTTATGGCAGTGCTGCTTCAAAAACCAGGAGCCTCACTATGGAATTTTCCTCTGGGATGCTAAGCATGGAAGTAGGCTCCCAACTGTTCAATTATTATGTCTTGCTCCAACATCTGCTCCCTACCCTCCCAGGAGAGGGGCAATGGGCCAAGAGAATCATTTAGTGGCCTGGATCCAGCTGCAGTTGGACTGCACTGCCTTAGATGATCTCAGCTGATACCCGTTTCAGTTTTCCTACAGAAATAGGCAGGAGAGTCTGTCTAAGAACTTCTCTCTCCAGAGAATACTGTTTTCTTTAGGATAAAACAATTATGCCATTTTAAGGCTATGGTGCTTTATTTTTATGCTCATGAGTAGTCTATTAAATAAATCTTCATTATTTAAGAGTAGGTGAAGTAAGACAGCCATTATCTTGGTCAGCATAGGGGTCTGATGGCGCAGGAGAAGACTTCCTTAGAGAGAAGTGTGACTTGCTGCTAAATGACCTGGATAGCCAAATATCTGTCATTCTACATAGGGGCAAGATGCTGGTTAGCTGGTTGCAAAAGTGTTTGCTGAAACTGTGTTAAAGGTGTTTTGTTGCAAGGCCCTTGTCCTCCTCTATTCTTTTGACACCTCAGGCGTGATTCAGTTGACCAAACAGCTATATCTGAGCCAGTCAGCCAAGTTTCCCTCCATATTAAGGGCAGGTCTCATCACTACAGACTCTGGAATGTAAGTCATGATCCATCTCAGTCCAAAGAGATACTGAAAACAGCTCAGAGGAACTGTCCCCTAAATGTGCCTATTTCTCTCCAGTGATGTAAACAGACTGCATGCACATATACATAATCGGCATATTTCCCAGCATCTTCCTAGAAACACAGACCTGCCCCTCTTCTGCCTGACACAAGCTGTCCTCCACCCAGTGACCAGTCACATCAGACATATCTCTCATGAAATCTGGAAAATAAGCTTGATTTAGCCCAAAGAAATTTGAAAAGCTTGGAGTCCCTCTACTAATACCACAATCTATCAGTTCTTCGCAACGGAACTGATGGGAGAATTCCAATGGTAACATTTACTGGAGAGTGATTATAAAAACCATTGTAAATGTCTAACTTTTGTTCTCTTTGTTGCAAAAAGGTTTGCATAGTGGTACATTATCAGCATGAAAAATGGCCAGACCTACCAACTAGTAGATTGCTGATGGTCAGGAAGAGATCCCACCGAGTTCTGAGGGCAAGATATGGTAGAGGTAGAAAGTGGGAGAAAATACAGCTATCACGCAAGCCAAGGCAGTCCTTTATTCCCTTTCTGGCTATGGAAATGATCTGCAGTAGTTTAAGACATTTCAACCAGTAGAACTGTGTCCACGGAGAGGGAAAATGCATATTGCTAAATATCCTGGTATGATTAAAAGGGATTTTCCTGGTGTGCAGACAAAGGTCTATATGATCGTGTTAAAATGAGGTAATTCAAGGTCTGAACTAAAAGAGCATTATGTATCTTGTGTGTGTACTTTTACTCCGTAGTAACTATAAGGAAGTTTAAGCCCCAGTGATGTTTACCTTAGGGTGCTTGGAAGTAGCAGTGGACATGAGAGCAGACATCACCGAGGAGCTGAGGTGCTGTAAATTCACTCCTGATTGGATAGGAGGTTTTATATGGCCATCCTCTAAGGGAATTTAACTGAA